GTTCGGCAAGAAGCGTGTGTTCCTAGTTGGAACAATCAACTTCATGACTATTACCGCCGAAGTCGCAACTTCTAACTTCGTATTTTAGAATCAAATCATAAAAACTCAAAGTCAATCTCCAATTGACCCAAACCTCGTTTATTCAACATAACCATATCCTATCCAATAAAAACAGTTTATAATAACAGTTTATAAAAACAGCTTGTTAGGATCGGACCCAGTCCGCTTAACCAAGAGAGCTAGCTCCCTTGGCTGCTGTTGGAATATGCAAGAATGGGCCTTTTAGATAAAGTCTAACAAGGAGAAGTGGCTATAGTTATGAAAAGATCACCGGTAACCATGGAGACAGACCACACTCTCATATAGATACTGGTTATAAATAGACCGAATAAGAAAAATGATCTGATAGAAGTACTTCAGGACAGCCTACGCATGGGTGACAGTACAGGCAACTGACGAACAGACCGTCGCTGACAAAGGTTTCTGGCCCGAAACTCTCTCACACACGGTTCGGCGCTGGCTCTTTGGCACAGACAGCTTCAACACCAGAGCTGCCAACGCTAACCAGGTAGACAACACCCTCTCCTCAGGCCCAGCATAATGGCGCGATCACAGCTGAATCCACTGGCTCGGCCTTACTTGATGGGGCCTCGGTCACCTAGCCAACAGCTAAATCCTCTTGCCCAACCCTTTTGTGCCCCACACAAGTTCATCACACCCTTCCCCTCATTGCGTTACATATTCTTCTATATCTATTGGTCATATTCCACTTGCACCACCATTCCTTCGTGATTCTGGACGACAAACTACTAAAACTCCTAATCAAACTGCCCAATTACCTTCATCCTTCTCAGTGCTCTCACTTAACTGCCGCTCCATAGTAAATAAGTTAGCTGTGCTTAGTCAAGTCTGTGAGCAGTATTCTCCAGACATAATCTGCCTATGTGAAACGTGGCTGACAGCTGCCATAGACGTCTCAATTTCAGGCTACACGTCATACCACCTGGACCGCCCACCTACGACCAGCTCCGATAACCTGCCAGCAAGAGGGTATGGCGGTGTTGCTACTCTTGTAGCTGACAGGTCGTTCATGTCCATCAAGCGCCGCTTTGACCTTGAGCGCTGTGGACTGGAGGCGGTTTGGCTCGAATTGCGGCCAGTGATCCTTCCCCCACTTCCCCACATCATCTGCTCTGTTTACAGACCCCCTGGAGACATCATCTCCCAAGTCCAGGCATTTAGTGACCTCCTAGAGGACTGTCTGTCCAATATTAGCCTTCCCTATTCTGAGATTGTACTTGTAGGAAACTTGAATGCTCGTCACTCTGACTGGTCTCCTAGACACACCACGAATCGTGCTGGAAGGGAGTTCCGTAACCTCTTCTCTTGTTTTGGCCTTGAGCAAATGGTGACATTCCCCACACACTTTACCCCCACAGCTCAACATCGTGTATTGACGTTGTGCTCACGGATCATCCTCACCTACTACTCTCTGTTACATCTCTTGCTCCTCTTGGTGCATCTGACCACGCACAGATCCTCAGTCACTTCCTACTGCCTACTGATGCTGTTTATCGTGATGCTGCAAACGGACATCCCGCTGCTGCAGCCGAAAAATACCACTTCAGGAATGCTCCTGCAAAGCCGGAATATGACTTTTAATCCGTGCCATCTTCCGTCTGGGATATTGTGAATGCAGAGCTTGCTGATATTGACTGGAGCTGGCATCTGCGTGCCAGCAACGTCAATGATGCGCTTTCGCACTTTTCTTTCATTCTCAACAGTGCCCTTGAGAAGCACCTCTTGCCATTCGGATAGCAGCTGTATTCTCACCGCTGCCCACGGCCCAGTCAGCCACCCTGGGTTGATGCCCATCTCCGCACAGCAATCAAGTGGAAATATTTAATTATTCCCGTTGCTATGCAGAAGACGTTACTTCAGCAACGTCTGGCGCTAGCCAGGGTCCACACAGCTTTAATTCCCGTAGCTATGCAGAAGACGTTACTTCAGTAACGTCTGGCGCTAGCCAGGGTCCACACAGCTTTAATTTGGTGTTTGTTTGTTTGTTTGTTTGTTTGTTTGTTTGTTTGTGTCACGGCTGGAGCTATCCCGTGTCTGTCCCGTATCCGTCCCGTATCTGTGACTACAAAGGCTCTACAGGATTGTACATAACAGCTGTCCACAATATTTGCGAGCCCCTGTATCTGTCCCGTACCGTACCAATATTCGTCGTATTATGTATACGACTCCCTGATGTACAGGGAAATTTGGAAAGAAATAGGGAGACGAGGAGGAAATTAAATTAGAATAGACGCCGAATAGGTGATATGATGCGTCAGCATAAACATTCTATGGAAGAGAGATCTCGTCGTCTCCAAAATAAGCGTGAACGAGCAATTCAGCGCCGGTCACAGGAAACGTCGGAAGAGAGATCCCGTCGACTCCAGAACGCCCGTGATCGGCAGAGTCCGCCGGTCCCAGGCAACGTCAGGACAGACATCCCGTTGAGTCCAGAACCCCCGTGATCGGCAGAGTCTAAGCCGGTCCCAGGAAAGGTCAGGACAGATATCCCGTCGAGTCCAGAACGCCCGTGATCGGCAGAGTCAGCGCCGGTCCCAGTAAACGTCAGGACAGACATCCCGTCGACGCGCAGAAAAACTAAATCTGCAGCCTCTTTTGCCGTCGAACAGGATACGTATTTTAATAGACTGTAAAGTTATCTAATGTCCAAATTTCGACGTGAGCAGCAGGTCACTCGCGTTGATTTTTCGACGTGCGAGCCAAATAACGTGAGCTGAACTTTCGCGTCGCAGACATCCCGTCGACGCGCAGAAAAACTAAATCTGCAGCCTCTTTTGCCGTCGGACAGGATACGTATTTTAGGAGCCTGTAAAGTTATGTAATGCGCTCCACAGGCAACCATGCATTCGGCGTCGTCATTGGCTCAACAGGTCAATGTACATGTATTACTACAAAAAGGCCAGAAAATCCGATTACTGTATTAAAATCAACTAATTTTCGCTGGCGATTTAATTTCGCTGATTTCGCCGCTTGGTACCAACCGGCCAAAGTAAATCGCAGGCCAAAGTTTGTCATAATTATAGGCAAATGATGCATGATTGAGCAATGGATGCATGTGAGAGCAAAAATACCGATCGATTTCAAATTTGACGTGAAATTGCGCGTCACGTCGGAAATAACGTGCATCTTAACCCCTCTAATAGAGAGGTTTCTATTTTCTCATCGGCCAAAATTTGTTGATTTACAGTATAAGGAGATAAAAGAAAAGAAGGAGCAAACCAAAAGTAGATGTTTATTAGAGAAATAACAATCCGCAATAAATTCTGCAAATACTTTTGCCTAACTCATAATATTCAAACCGATTGAAACGTTTTTGCAATACCGTGATGTGGCCAATCAACGGAAAAAGACATTTCCATCAGTTCTTATAACATGTACGATGAGCTAGGCAAAAAAGCATAAAAGCATAGCGTAGGGCCCTGAGCTTCCAAGCTCTCTCGTTTGGTATTATGTGTGTTTGTTTGTTTGTGTCACGCCTGGCGCTATCCCGTATCTCACGGCAAAAAAATCATAGGGATGTTATACATTTTTCAATTCTCCTATTTTTTTTCAGGCATATCCTGGGATTCGAACCCGCACTATCGCCCTACATGCATTCCCCCATACACTTCGCATTCATACCCATTCTTCCAAGTTGCTTCACGTTATGATCTTGCGTTTGAAAGCCCTATTTGAATATTGCCGGCAGCTGTATGTGGCCGGCTGTGTTTGATGGTACGGTACGGGAGACGGTGTCGTATTACCCTCGATCGTACCTGTTTCGTACCTATCCCTACCGTACCGTACCATCAAAGACGGCTGACCACAATGCATATTCAAATACCGTAGGGCTTTCAAATGCAAGATCATAATGTGAAGCAACTTGGAAGAATTAGTATGTATGCGAAGTGTATCGGGGGATGCATGCAGGGCGTGATATTTTTTTTTTTTAATGTTTATTTGAATTCGGATAGCTCAACAGTACAGAAGTACAACTACAAAGAGTACCGAATAGAAGGCCCCGAGAACGGGAAACCAAAAAAAACAAAAAAAACAAAAACAGCAACATCAAGTTACTGATTATGCACATTGCTTGAAAGCAAATCACAACAATGATTAAGAGTTAAGCTCTCTTTTAGCCAAATAGCCAATTTGACGCGGAAATCTGCGATAGTAGTGCAGGACTTCAGGTCGTCTGGTAAATAATTCCAAACAAGAGCCGATTTACTTGAAAAGGACAGAAAGCCAGACATAGATCTATAGCGATTGATACTCATGTTATGAGTTGTAGAGCCGCGAGTAGTTCGGGTAGACGTGCAGATGGGAAAGAGGGACTGCAAGCAAACAGCCGGCTTAATACAGTAACAGTGGAAAATGAATACAAGGAACAAAAATACTGATCGATATTGGAAAGAGGAAACATTGAGGTGGTGAAGAAGTGGCGTGATATTAGCTTGGGGTGATGCGCCACAAGCAACTCGTACAGCGCGCCAGTGGAGTGAGGCTAGCTTGTTTCTATTTTTAGCGGATATAATAATAATAATAATAATAATAATAGCACATTTCGCGTAGTAGAGCACTAAATAAAGAAATTCAGTGTTTTTTCCGCTTCTGTCTTGTGAGCATCATCAGCTAGGTGTAGTAGCTGCTGATACCGATTTCTCGCCGGGTGTCGAGCTGCACAGTTTCCTCCAGTCTGTCTTGTCTGCTGCTTGCTGTCGGCACCTGGAAAGGTCTTCCATGGTCTTCATTGGCACACCCAGCTTATTCAGCTGAGCAACCAGACTTGTGGCCAGTGTCAACCTTGGCCGTCCACGAGGTGCTTTGTTGCCCTTGTCAAAATAGCCGCTCATGGCTACTTGCGGTGGCGTGTCCGTGTCCATCCGTAGCACATGACCGGTCATTCGTAGTCGCCTACATGCAACTGTGTCTGATATAGGGTTGCTCTTGGTTCTGCGGTACAGGTCGTCGTTTGAAATTGTGTCTGGGTATCGTATTCCAAGGAGTGATCGCATTTGACGCCGGTGGAATGCGTCTGCCTTGGCCATTGCTGTTGACGATAATCCCCAGGTCTCGCAATTGTACAGGAATGTCGGCAGTACGATAGCGTTGTACAGGCGTAAGCGTGTCTTCTCCGCTACTTTATCTCTACGCAGCCATAGGGCGTACAGCTGGCCAAACACGCGAGAGGCAAGTTCCATCCTGCGCCGAACATCCTCTTCCTCCCCCATCAAGGAGCCAAGCTGCCTAGATGTCCGCCAGCTCCCGGAATCAGGTGACACACGGATCCACTCTGTTTTATCTGGATTTACTTTTAATGACCAATCGTGCAGTGTGTCTGCTATTACAGGCAGAGCATTCTCAAGCCACAGCCTGCAGGTTGAATAATAGGAGATGTCATCTGCATAACCCGTCTCTGGTGGTAGACTTGCGTCGCCAGCAGGGCGGGGCGCGAGACGAGTTCTGCATTCCTGTAGTGCAGCCTCCAGATAGCAGATGAAGAGAACTGGGCTGAGACTGTCGCCTTGTGGTGTTCCAATAGTGCTCTCAAACGGTTCAGCTGTGGCACTTGCAACCTTAACAGTGATAGTTGTGTTGTGGAGTAGGTGGTGGATGAGACATGTGCAATCTGGATTGGTGATTGCAGACATCACCTCCAGCAGCTTCAGGCGGTTAATCGTATCGAAGGCCTTGGACATGTCCAGGCCTAGAATGTGAAATTGCTGTCGGTAACGAATGGCTCTTGCAGCGATCCACCGCTGGGTCCATACCACGTCCGCTGTACTACGGCCCGGGCGGAAGCCGGACTGTGTAGTACCAAGATGACGAGAGAGTGCCCCGGATTCCGTGATGCGCCGAAGCACAATGATCGATATCACTTTGCGGATAGAGTTTAATAAAGTGATGGGCCGCAGACTGGTTACAGGACCCTTGGGCTTGTTAGGCTTAGCGAGAGGTATGAGTATTCCTGGTCCAATAGCCGTCGATAAATTGGCACCCTGCGAAAGGTATACAGGGAGAGCATATTCTAGATCAGGCTGAATAACACCGACAACGAAAGTACGGCGGGCAAACAGATAGTGCGGATTCGAATCCCAGGTTATGTCTTAAAAAAAAGGATTTTTTTAAAGACTGGGGGATGCATGCAGGGCCCGATAGTGCGGGTTCGAATCCCAGGTTATGTCTTAAAAAAAGGAATTTTTAAAGAATTTATAACTTCCCTATGCTTTTTTTGTCTAGGTCATCAAGGCAAAAAAGCATAGCGTAGGGCCCTGAGCTTCCAAGCTCTCTCGTTATTAATTATGATCTCTATAGCATTTTTAAGAAGTACCCAACCCAATAGGAATAACAACAGTGCACTTTCGCCAATCTACTGTGAGGCGTGTGCTTAAAGCCATCAACCCGTCAAAAGCAACTGGCCCTGACTCTGTCCCCTCTCGGGTGCTTAAGATGTGTGCAGATTCTCTTGCACGCCCGCTCCCTCATCTGTTCTCTCTCTGCTTCCGACAAGGCCACCAGCCTTCTGCTTGGAAGGTGGCAAACGTTGTCCCGGTCCACAAAAAGTGCTTAAGATCTTGTGTGAAGAATTACCGTCAAACATCACTTCTCTACATTATCTCCAAATTAATGGAAACCATAATCAACCGGAGCATCACAAACTTTCTCGACAGCAACTCTATTCTTTCTGCTCGCCAATTTGGCTTCCGCTCTGGACTTGGCGCAACCGACTTCCTCCTAGCTCTTCAACACCAATGGAGCCGAGTTGCCAACAGTGGAGGACTTGTGCGCGTCCTGGCAATGGATATTGCTGGGGCGTTCGACAAAGTGTCGCACCCGGGTATCCTGTATAAAGCTGAGTTGTATGGGCTCCAGGGACATCTTCTCGCCTGGCTCAGAAGCTACCTCACCAACTGCATGCTCCAGGCTGTAGTGAGCGGAGAGACCTCCTCTGCTTACCCCATCATGTCAGGCGTCCCCCAGGGTAGCATCTTGGGCCCGACTTTATTCCTTCTCTATACGAATTATGCTGTGGATCATCTACCTGCTGGGGCCCAGCTTGCTGCATATGCCGATGACACCACGTTGTACAAGTGCATATCGACCAATACTGCCGTACCCGAAGATGTTACCACACTCCAGCTTGCTGTAAATGCGCTGGCAGACTGGGGAATGGCCTGGCACATTAGGTTTGAACCTACAAAGTCTCAGTCTCTCCTGATTTCTCACCATCGCAACACAGTCGTCGTCCCACCGATTGTATTCCAGGGCACAGTTGCTCCGGAAGTCGACCAGCTGAAGCTGCTCGGTGTGCTGTTTGACCAACACCTGTCCTTCACAGCTCATATCAGGCAATGGGTATTCGAGGCTCGCAGCGTCTCGGCTTCCTCCGGAAAGCCTCGCGAGTGCTGGACTCCAGGTGCCGTGGAGTGATCTACAAGGGCTTTGTCCGCCCTGTTTTGGAGTACGGCATGCTCGTGTGGATAAGCGCTGCACCCACCACTCTGGCTCGCCTCACTGCCATCCAACGCCGTGGCCTTCACCTAATCGGTGATGGAGCCTACCTCCCTAGCTTGGACATTCGCAGAATGGTCGGAGCACTCTGCTTTCTGTACAAGCTCCACTTTTCAACTGGCCCAGACATGCTTCTCACCCTTCTTCCACCCCGAGCGACCAACACATCACGCCATAGCCGACGCACACAAAAGCATCCCTAACACCAGTTTCAGCTCACTTCCACTCTTCCGCCCAGAGCACGGAATGATGTCCTTCGGTCCTTCCCTGACGCTGTTGTGGAGGTCTGGAACCAGCTCCCGCAGTGCGTTCTGCTGAACCAGCACACAAGGAAAGGACTGCAGACGTTCAAAGAAAAGGTCAACGCCCACCTGCGCCTTACCCGCTGGGAGTGGGCAACGGACAGGTTATGAATAATAACAAAAGACGAAAAAAGCTCTAACTCTGTTCCCTCCTCCACTCACTTCGTTGATTCTCTGATAACTTTTTATTGTGCATATTTTCCCCCGTAATCCCCAATTATCTACCCCCCCCCCCATGCGTATTTTCTGTAATCTTTTGATTTTGTGGAGCGCTTGGGTTGCAATGAAGCCGAGACCCTATGGTCGGTCAAGCTGTCCCTGTCTCTCCCCCACTCCTGCCATTCCATATGTCTCATCGCTACCTTGCTGCTTTGTGCCATCAAATGGTAAGTGTTTTTTTTGTAAAGAAAAAAGAACAAAAAAACAAAAAAATACAAAAAACAATCAAGCGTACCAACAGCAGCGAAATATAGTGAAAACCCTGACGCGGACCACGTACAGAGCTTATATCTGCTCAGTGCAAACTACTTTACAGGGTAGACACCGTTCATCGCTTCACCAAAAGTTGCACGTGTAGGAGTAGGATGCAAATTTTCTAGCTCCAACTTTGGCTGATTTGTTCTTGTTTTAAACGGGTTCGCCATGCCCATGTCCACCAGGTCTAAAGAAAGCGGAGAAGATAACTCTAGTACGACTCCGATTGCCCAAAGTGGTTCTCCGAGCACTGGTATGGACGGTTCTGTTGACGTCACGCCTTTATTTGGCGAAAACGGCTCTTCTGGATGCCAAATTGATGTTGCCTCGTCTAACTTGCCTGCTAACCGTAAGTGCTCATGCATGTGTCATTTAGAAAAGTGATCCTGTCAGCCTTTCTATTATTGTGTTCACATGGCAGAAAAAACGACATCGCTATGCTACGTAAGTTTCTACGTAAGGTGCTCGGTATTTCACTTAGGCTACGTAAGTCTCTACGTAAGGTGCTAGGTATTAGATCTACCAACGCGTGGTAGCCGTGTGCTGTGCACGTGCACGGCAAACATTGTGTTCAGTGCATGCAGTCCGCGGATCCGTGTTCGGATGTGCATGCGCGAGGAACTTCCTTCTTTGGAACTGCTTCTTGCATGAGCTGTTTCGGATATTTCATCTCATGGCCTGGCTTATTTCGTTTTGGCGCTGCTGAGACCTCCTTTCGCGGAATATTACTCAAGGACAGGTGAGTCGACCAGTTGCCTTTGATTCATTTGCTTGTGTTGTTTCTTTCATTCAGGAAAAGTGTGCTGATTTTGGGGCGGAATGCAATAAATAATGGAAAAGTTGACAGGATCTCTTTTCTAAATAATTTTGCTTTTCTGCTGCCGAGCTGCGAGGCCTCCTTTTACCGAATACTCGATGACAGGTGATCTCTAAGTTGACCGGTTTCCTTCGATTCATTTGCTTATGTTCACCCTTTCATTTACGGAAACGTGTGCTGATTTTAATCGGATTTAGATCCATATTTATCTCTTTGCCCTTGTCTACAGTGTGCGAAGAACGCGAGTTCACCTTCTTGACGGTGAGGCTTATGTTAGATGTGTTGTCGAAATACTCATATTCATTGTACATTGGTACGTTACAAGTAAGGCACTGGTCAGTGGCATACTATCGTTGGCAGTTCCCAATCTGGAGGGAAAGGTTCAAGTACCAATTGACCGAGTTTGCAAAATAAATTCGCATATCAGGGGAAATCTCTATTGTGGAGAGGTTCAGTAACTTGTTTGTTTCATACGAAACAATCCAATGGGTGCAGTTTGGTCTCGTGAAAATCTCGTACTTGTATGATTGGATTTGTTTACTCGAGTCTGGGCTGCTTGATTTGTGAGTACCGCCGAGATTGCACTGCCCCAAATAAAGTTTCGTGCCGCCAAAGCAAGAATTACGATCTGCAATCTGTTTGTAGTACCTGTAAGAATGTGGATTACATGTATCGTACTTTCTCTGTTGCTGTTTCAGTTGCCGTCATGTTGCTAAAGAAAGGTTCAGTAGAGAGGTTCTACAAAACGAAAATTCGAACGAAGTTTCGCGACAGTCCTTGCGAAAGTGTGTGCGAATTTTTGCACGAACTTTGCGTTCTGAACATTTTCGTAGTTTGCGCGGGCCAAGTGCACGTACGCCATGACCCGATCTCACGAAATTTCCTACGACAGTTCATGTCGCGTTCTTTGCAAGTTTCGCGTCCAAAGGTGCGAAGTTTCGCACTTCATGATGTAGAGCGAAAGTTTGTACGCATTTTCGTTTTGCAGAATCTCTCTCTGACTCATTTGTTTCATACGAGACGAGTCAATGAGTCGGTGTGGCTTAGAATCTTTCGCTGTAGAAGAAATCTATTCGTATGTCTATTGGAGAAATAATTGTATTCACTGGTTATAAAATAGGTTAAGACAAACTCACAGAATAAATACCATCGGTCACTTGGTGTTCGTCCTAAAGAGGCTCGATTGGATATCATTCATACTCACCAAAAGATGTGTAAGATTTTATTATTGTGAAGTGCCTTGTTTATCTCTCAGTACCTCCAACCACAGCCTTGCCCCTTTTATCCTCGGGATCAGTGTAGTTGTTTGAACGAGGTTTTGGACTCAGCAATGTATTCGTTTACATTTTAATTCATGTTTATTGTTCCTCCTTTGCTGTGTTGTTTTAAAAAATCGTGGACTAACAGTTTGAAGTCATTGAACTACTTCCAAAAGTTGTGTCGGCAGGATAACCATTTCAGTGCAATATGATGCAGGATGACCTTATCACGATAAGCCATGATTATAACTAAATATTGCGACAGAGCTTTCGGCCATATTTTCAATTCATTCCCAACTCATCACAACCACGCGCCCTTCAGCCGAACCATACAC